TAGTATATAAAGTTGTAAAGTAAACCTATTATAAGTAAGTAATAAAGTTAAACCAAATAACAATAAACATCAAAAACTAATATACAGTATTAGAAAAGAAGAAATATATAGCTAAGTGTGTGGAAACCCAAAAGTATTTTGACAAGTATGCTTCAGGACAAAAGTCACTCAGTAGCCCAGATCGACCTGTACAGTACGCGTCACTCACTTCCTGAGGCTGCCTCTATTTCACACTGTCAGTTTATCTGTGAGCATCAGCCGAGGTAGCAATAAGCTGGTATGTATGTGTACTGCCCTGTGCAGTATATAGTTAGTATTTACCCACTGTTACTGTGAATTTGTAGCTATTATTAATTTTATATATAATGTATGTGTGGTTCTTACGTTTTCAATGGTTTTGCTAGGATTAGCAGAGTATGCGAGGCTATATACGTTCACGTTTAGCCATATATATCAATAATAACAACATTTTGTGAAAGGGGTAACATGCTTTATGTGGCATGTTAAATTGGGTAACAAGCTGAAAAAGTTTGGGAACCACTGTTCTACGGGATAGACGAGTGGTTGACGGGGGGGGGGGTGCGGGATATGTGGTGGGGAGGAGTCGGCGTTTCATGTAGTATATATTTGTGACGGACTGAGGAGTGTCAAGGGGTGGTTAAATAGGGTGATATATAGGATAGGAGGTCAAGGAATTTCTGTATTGAGAGCATTAAGTCTCGACGTGGGGGGTTGGGATGAAAGTGTCATCAGAGCTGTGGGGTGTATTATGGTAGATTATATATATATATATAGTGTGGGGATTGCGGGAGAAACAGATTAGTGAGGTGAAGAGGAGGGTGTTAGCGGCAACGTTCTATAAAACAGTATGTAGAAATAAGGAAATTTATGGGAGGAGGTAGGTGAGGGATTTTTCCGAGGGATATAGGCAACTTACGTTACAGAATTTATTAGACTTGTAATGTACGAGGGAGGGGAGGGTAAGACTGGAGAATGTTGATGAAAGTTAAGACACTTGTGCAACATCTGGTTATCTTTATTGTAGACGTTTCGCCATCCAGTGGCTTTATCAATACAAATTCTTGGACATAATAAGAAAAACGAAGAACTATATACAAAAGACGAGGTAATCAGTCCCTCGGCCTTGGAGGTGGTGTTTAGAGCACCGTGGTTGTAGAGATTCTGAAGCACAGGCAAGGAGATTGGCGCTTATATAGGCGTCAGTGAAAGGGACGTGTAGCAGACGAGGGCATAGTCACTGGTAGGGAAGGACCTACTTCCACTGGGGAATCCCGCCTACCAGTGACTATGCCTTCGTCTGCTACACGTCCCTTTCACTGACGCCTATATAAGCGCCAGTCTCCTTGCCTGTGCTTCAGAATCTCTACAACCACGGTGCTCTAAACACCACCTCCAAGGCCGAGGGACTGATTACCTCATCTTTTGTATATAGTTCTTCGTTTTTCTTATTATGTCCAAGAATTTGTATTGATAAAGCCACTGGATGGCGAAATGTCTACAATAAAGATAACCAGATGTTGCACAAGTGTCTTAACGTTCATCTTGTCGGTATTGTATACCAGTCTTGCACAACCTGGAGAATGTTGCTGGGGTAGCGAAGTCATGGGTGAAAACTGGGTCGCCTCCCTGGTTATGGATGACAACAAATGTTGCGTGTGTGTTGGATGAGTGATGCGTGAGTGAATAATGTATGGACCACGGGTACAAGCGCCTGTCTGGTTGTCTTTGTTGTGGACGTTTCGCCATCCAGTGGCTGGCTGGATGGCGAAACGTCTACGATAGGGATGCCCGGGTGTTGCGCATGTGTCTTAATTTCATCTTGTCGGTATTATATATCATTCTTGTACTACTACTACTACTACTACTACCACCACCTCTTCCTGCCTATATATAGCCGTCCTGCTCCACTTCTGGTTAGTATGACTTTGTCAATGGTCCAAGTCGGATCGAAACGTCGTCGTAAGCTTCTCTCTTTTATGTGCGGGTTATTTGTGTATAATGCCTGTGGAACTGGCCAGTTTCTTGTGTCATGGATTATACACTATTCATATAGTATTCATGTCCCTTCAAGGTAGTAGTGAATGATGATAAGGTATAAATAGGGGGGGAAGGTCTTTGCCTCTATCACTGTGCAGAGTGAGGAGTAGGGCAGTATATTGTGTTGGAAGTGATGGACAGTTGCTTGTCCAGTATGTTGTAGTATAACGTGTAGATAATAAGCATACTTTAGTATATAGAGAGATGAGACTACATACATGTTGGACTTGGACTTGTAATGTGAATTACTCTTTCGCCTGATATGTTAAGGCGGATTTATCAACTGTGATCCATTCAAATTAGATTTATTATTATGTTCTTATCTATGTACATAGCAGTCTTAAGTCATATGATGTGAGTTGTGTTTAGGTGCAGTTGTCACAATAAGTTGTTTTGTTTTGTCTGTGTTAGGGAAATATGGAATTTTTTGCGTGTAGCCGCTACATGGCTGGGTTTATACTTTATACCTTTGTATTCTCTGATGTTTTTCATAATATAATGTTTTTATTTATATACTATGTTGAATGAATAGGGTTTACATGCTAAAATAATTGCACATAAGTTGCCTTTGGGAGTCGACATTTATTGTTGCAACCTTCTTAGAAAATTAATCTTTTGAAGTGTATTCTCTTTAACCAGGTTGAGGTGTCATTGTGTTTAAGTAAAGGCGTCTATCCCATTGTAATATTGTTATTAATATTTGTGTCTATGGTGTTACTGTATCACTCATGATAGTGTAATTACTATGTATCCTTTAATGTCAAGTTAAGATGCAATCAGGTTGGTGTTGGTTATATTTTGCGGGAGGGGAGGTGAAATTATGTTAAAAGTTTAAGCCTTCAGAGGTATAATTCTGGTATAACTGGGTGTATATGGTGTGTGGTGATAGGGTGTCAGAACACTTGTGTCTGGTGTGATTTTTTGTAAGGGTAAATTGGGAATTTGTGATTTAACTAAATGTGTGTACTTTTTAATATAATTTCCACCTTGTATTGTAACGTTTTAAATAAAATATAAAAAAAAAAGACTACAAAAAACAAAAAAATACAGAAATAATATTGACGCTATTATGCAAACTTGTTAGACCTCATCTTGAATATGTTGTTTAGTGTAGGCTCCCAAATTAGATAAAAGACGAATGTAGACTTGAGAGTACAGGGAAGGGCGACTAAGCTCGCGAGAACTCAGAACACTGAGCCTTTTTCCTCTCAGGGAAGTGAAACTACAAGATTTCAATCAAACCTTCAGGATATTGAAGGTTTTTGATATACTACGTGTTGAAGAACTATATAAAGTACGAAGTCAATAACCCAAAACAAATGTAGAAACTCCGTGGCAAGTGATGCAACAAAAATGTGGATAAAAGCTTTTTTTTCAATCAGAATTATAGCTGAATGATATAATCAGCTAGCTGCAACTGTACATTAATTGCATAGACAATATAGTTATTGAATAACCAATTGAACAAACACTTTGCATAGATAGAATTCAGCTAAATGTTATGCTGAGGTAAACTGAAGTTAGTGAGCTCCACGTGTCAGTTCAGTATCTACATCAGAATGAGCTACCCACAGAGCTGTATTTACTACTGCTAAACACAGCTCTGTGGGCAGCAGTGAAGTATCAGTAGTTGTATGAGCAACGTGGGTAGTTTGTAGTCCATGCCTTCTATCCATTTTTTTAATCTCTCCTATGAATTCCACGCTGTTTTTGCTATATGATAGGGCATTTTTTTTTTAAACCTTGTTTCATGCTAGCATTAGCCGGAGAGAGTTGAGGGAGAGTTTTCTGCTTTTCTATTATTGCCTCAAACATCTTGCTAACAGTATACAAATATAGTTCTTAATCAAAATAAAAAACAGGCTTCCTCAATAGATACCTTCGGTGTGGGCTTTTTTTTTTTTGTTTTTTTTTTTACACAGGGTTTTAAATCTTTTGTTAATTTCCTTTCCAGTGACAAATGTGAATTATCCATATTATTATTATTATTATATTATTATTATTATTATTATTATTATTATTATTATTATTATTATTATTGTCGTCGTTATATATTCATAGGGTACGAGAGTATAGTGGTACGAACACTGTTGTATGGATGTAGTGAGATGATGTATTTGAAGGCAATGTGAGGCGAGAATTCATAGTTTGGAAATTAAGATGAAGTGTAGGGTTACCAAAAGTATTATTAAAAGGACTGAGGAGGGGTTGTTGAAGTGATTTGTACACATAAAGAGGCTGTCGAAAAATAGGATTAGTAAGAGGGCTCATAAATCTGGGTTGGAAAGAAGAAGAGGTAGTGGTTGTCCTAGGAAAGATTGGTGGGAGGGCATAAAGGAGGTTCTGAATGCTAGAGAATTGGTGAACGTGTTAGGAATGGAGTTGAGTTGTTTTTTTATGATTTTACGTGCTAATGGAGTTTGAGCAAGGTAACAATTATCAAGGTATTCAAGAAAGTCGATTAACCAGACTTGAGTACTGAAGATCCTCAGTACAGTGCCAGCACTCTGGAGGACGAGTGGGGATGTTGCGGTCTGGAAGGTTATCTAGATGAGCTGTGATGTGGACACGCCTCTGGCGAGACAGGGATTGAATGAATGACGATAAAAGTGTTTTCCTCTTTGTAGGGTCACCTTAGTAGGTGGGAGACAACCCTTGAGTTATAGGAGATAATCAGGTTCGACTTAAGTAATGGGAGGGTAGCTCCAATTCCCTGGATCAAGAACCTTATCTGCATCAAGCCACCCGTTTGAAAGGCGGAGGGACGGGAGAGAGCCTTTTCTGTACTATACATGACCACATTTTTCTAGAAAGTAGCAACTCAAGACAGGAGCTTAGTTTTTTCATTATTACATTATAATTATTCTGACTGAGTATGAGGAAGTTATAATATATTGTTTGCATGAGCACAGCGTAGAGAACTAACATTGAGATCTGGTCAGGTGGAGGGTGGGAAGCCGCACTATAGTCTTCTTAAATAACATCTCGCTGATCAAGGAGGCATTCTCGAACCCAGAGCTGCAGGATCGCCCAGACTTCTATACGTTCGACAGCTTCACTTCCTTCAAGAAGATAGGTAAATTTATGTTAGGCAGTTTACCTTGAAGCAGTACTATAATTGTGACTACTATTATGTTGCTACTACTACTAGCATTACTACTGCTGCTGCAGCATTATCACTCTTGCTGCTGTCTTAAAAATATTATGTACTAGCTACAGATGAAGTTTATAGAAGATACATTCTTTGGAATCCTAAAAGCCTTCTGTGATAGATAACATTTAACCAGTATGGCATTTCTTGTTAGTTTTGTCCGGTGTTGAACTTTAACTCGCCACATCCCCAAACTATGAATTATATATAATATATATATATATATATATATATATATATATATATATATATATATATATATATATATATATATATATATATATATATATATATATATATATATATGGCCAACATATGGAGTATGTTGATTTAACATTTTTAACTGATGTTACCAGCCATCTCAATGATCTAAATTTGAAACTGCAGTGCAAGAACAAATTATTTCCTAACTTTGTAAATGATATTACTGCGTTCAAGATGGTGTTAAAATTCTTTACCTCTCATTTAGAAAATGAGGATTTAAGCCAATTTACACATTTTAAAGAATAGAGCGAATGTGCTGAAGATAATGGCAATTTTATAGAATATATTGAAAAGATCAGATTTTTGTGAGAGTCGTTTGAAAATCATTTTAGTGAGCAAAAAATTTTGAAGATGCCTAATAAAATACAAATGGAATTTATTGATTTGAAAACAAATTCAATATTGAAAATAAAATTTAATGAGCTTCTCTCAGACCCGAATGCTTCCAAAGTAATTTTTGGCGATCATTATCCTGTAAGCATTTTCCAGGACTAAGAAAATTTGCCCAGAGTTATATTTGTTGTTCTGGAACAACGTACAGATGCGAACAAGCATTTACATCAGTGAAATTGATCAAAAACAAACTGAGGTCGCAAGAGACTGATTCAATTGAATAATTCTCTGCTGTTCTCAATGACTATTTTAAACCCAGACATTACAAGCTTGGCGAAATCAAGGCAGACTCAAAAATCTCATTAAAGTAAGTAACATTACTTACTATATTACTTACTCTACATTAAAATGCAAAATTATGTCCATATTAACATATATTTAAAGAACAGAATGGGGGTACAACTGCCATATGGCGCATCTGAACTAGACTCAAAAAAAAAAAACACGTATGGAATGCAAAAGGTTGGCTGCCCTGATCTAGATAACCACCTCCAGTACTGACACCATGATGCTAACATGATATGATACTAGCTTATCACTTATCACATACTTATTCTTTATCTCGGTACTTGTGCTGTATTCCAAGTCGTTTCATAATTCAAGCAGCAATACTCCACTTCGAGTATGTTGTTGTATGATTCTCAAGGAATACAATCCAAGGCATTCAGTTCTAGAGGAATTCAATCCTCAAGGATAAAATGAAGAGATTTAGGTGTTGATATTGCATTTGTCAGTCGAAAATCCCTCGACAGGAGTCTTGGTCGTATGGTGACTTGTTTAGTGATGGCAATCCGAGAGGCCACGGTACAGGTACAACACGTAATTTATCGGCTAGGTTCAGTGAGGTGACTGTTATTGTAGATTGGCTGACATTTTGGTTAAGGCTGAACCCTAGTCATGGATGGCCCAGACGTGGCCCTGAGGAAGGTAATAATAAGAGCCTTATATACAGGAGAATTGCACTTCACTTGTGACCTTGACTTGGTCATACAGCAAAGTTAGATGACGAGTGTTGGGTCTGTCAACACAAGCTGAATTATTATTATAATAACTAAGCGCTAAACCCACAAGGGTCATACAGCGAACATAGCCTAAAACTTTTAGATTTTATAAATTTTAAGTACCCCCGTCTAGGAAAGTCCTGAATTTATTGTGTCCTTAAATCTTCGATTTGCGACTTGACAATTTTGTCAGTTTTTAACCAGTTAATAAGATTATTAAAATTACTCTTTTTGTGCGATGTGACTATAAAGAACAATCATTATTCTCTGTGGAATTTTTAATATTTTTTTAGGACATTTAGATTTATATATATATATATATATATATATATATATATATATATATATATATATGTCGTGCCGAATAGGCAGAACTTGCGATCTTGGCTTAAATAGCAACGCTCATCTTGCCATATAGGACAAGTGAAAATTTGTGTATGCAATAATTTCGCCAAAATCATTCTGAACCTAACGAAAAAAATATATTTGATTGTGTTTGGTTAGTATTAAATTATTGTAAAAAAATCTAAAATATATTTAGTTGGGTTAGGCTAAAATAAATTGTTCTTGTTATAATAAGGTTAGGTAAGTTTTCTAAGGTTCTTCTGGAACAAAATTATAAATTTTTACATCAACATTAATGAAAAAAATATATCTTTAAACGTATAACAGAAAATTTTAGAGAGGACTTAATTTTAAATGAGTTCTTGCTAATTGACCAGTTTTACATATTCGGCACGACATATATATATATATTATATATATATATATATATATATATATATATATATATATATATATATATATATATATATATAAGACATTTTTCTAAGAATTTAATCAACTTTACGGAACATACAGAGATAAAGTTTTTCTTCCATCTGTAATCTTTCCCCTGTATTACAGATATTTTCTGTTATTTTAATGCATATATTCTCTGCTGTTTTAATAGATATTATCTGATCTTTGAATAGAAATTATCTGCCGTAGATATCTGTTCCTTTAATAAAAATATTATCAGCTCTCCTTCAGACGCTTGGGAAACATAATGAACTTCACAGATATTTCAGAGATGAGCTTATATGTAGAGTAATAATTTATTTCACCTTTGTTTTCCTGATACAATTCGAGTGCGCCACTACAGGCTTGGCTAACAGTAATGGAGCAACATCGCTCCGCAACCGACGGTTTGCTCTCCGGCAGCTGAAGGACTTGGGTATGGGCAAGTCTAGCCTGATGGAAGCTATCCAGTACGAAGTACAGTGTCTGGTGGAGGACTTCAGGAAGCACACTGGGAGTGCCCAGCCCATCCCGTGGTCCCTTAATGTGGCTGTCCTCAATGTTATATGGAAGATTGTGTCAGGTGAGTGTTGGCTCCATTCACATCTCAATAATGTCACTTTCTTTTTTAATTATTATTATTATTATTATTATTATTATTATTATTATTATTATTATTATTATTCCAGCCCATGTACTCCTCGTGTCTTGGTCAGCACTCTAATGGCTGGCTCTGCATTTCATGAAATTGTAAATTAATATGGGTGTTTAATTTCTGTGACTTGCATTATTTCTTATATCAACACTATATTAACAAACCACAGTTTTTCTTACCAAGCATCCATTATACATTCATTTTGTTTATTTATAGTAATTTAATATACTATACATAATATATATATATATTATATATATTATATATTATTATTATTATAGAATGTCTGCCGATTGTCTGGTAAAGCAAATGAACTGCATTTAAAATTGTCTTTCAATTGTTCTCTTATACTTAAGATTATTTTCATTATTTGATGTAAAAATTATATTTGCACCAAAGTTGCAAAACTACGCTAACCATTATAATACAAAATTTATATTTAGCTAACAATATATATATTTAGTATATATATAATAATTTAATAATATATACAAAATATGAAATATATTTTTATTATGTCAGAGATGCCGAATATGTAACAATTTCAATTTAGCAAGATAACTCATTTTAAAATTAAGTTCTTTCTAAATTGTTCATCGTAACTATTAAAATATATATTTTTCATTAATTTGATGTAAATAATTATATATTATTGCATCCAAAAGAATATAGATAAACTTACTAACTTATTATAAAAGCGCAATTTATTTAGCCAATCCAGCTAAATTATTTTAGATTTTTTTACATAAATTTATACTAACAAACGTAAATATTATTTTTTTCATTAGATTAAAATTATGATTTTGGCACAAATTATGCATAGCAAACCAAACTTTTCACATTTTTCTACTAATCGCAATTATAACGTTGTCTATTTAAGTCAAATCCGCAAATTTTTTGCTAGTTCAGTGATGCGACAATTATTATACAAATATATTATATTCTATATGGAATATAATTTATTTAAGCAAATCGCATTTTCCTATATACGGCAGAATATTATATATATATATATATATATATATATAATATATATATATATATATATTATTATATATATATATATATGAACCCTAACTAGTCATAAGCTTGCCTATGATACACCAATATAGACACTTTGTATTGTGCCAAAACAAAATCATTCACATTGCTAAACTCACAAATTATGATGTAGTCAGCCTTAATACCATAATCAGTAAGGATTTAATGTTAAGAATTAATCTAAGTCTGCCTGAAATGCCTAGCCATGCTAGGTGTCCTAGTGGCTCCCACTGTAATTAGTATTTTATAACATGTAAACCACACAATACCCAAAACCTGTAAACCCCACATTGTGTCCTTGGACCCCTGCTCTTCCTCATTTACATCAATGATCTTCCAAACATATCCCAACACCTGAAACCCATTCTCTTTGCTGACGACACGACTTATGTCATCTCTCACCCTAATCTTGCCACCCTCAACACCATTGTTAACGAGGAGCTGCTCAAAATCTCGACTTGGATGACAGCCAATAAACTTACACTTAACACTGACAAAACCTACTGTATTAGGTAGCAGAGCAGATGTTGCGCAACTTAACATTAAGATCGACAACACTCTAATTGCCAGGCATATTGAGGGCAAATTCCTTGGCCTATACCTCGACAACAACCTAAATTTCAGCACCCATATCCAACACATAAAAAAAGTATCCAAAACGGTTGGGATCCTCTCCAAGATACGATACTACGTGCCGCAAACTGCCCTTCTCACACTATACCATTCACTTACATATCCATACCTCACCTATGCTATCTGTGCTTGGGGTTCAACTGCAGCAACACACCTAAAGCCAATAATAACCCAACAAAAAGCCGCAGTAAGAATAATCACTAAATCCCATCCCTGGCAACACCCCCCCCCCCCCAAGCTTCATAGATCTAAATTTACTCCCTGTTCAGAACATCCACACTTACTACTGTGCAATCTATATCTACAGGACCTTAAATTCCAATATTAACCTTGACCTAAAACACATTCTTGATAGTTGTGACAGGATCCACAGGCATAACACCAAACACAAACATCTCTATGACATTCCCTGTGTTCGACAAAACCTTTACAAAAATTCAATGTATTTCAAAGGATCTAAAATCTGGAACACCCTACCTGAAAACTCTAGAACTGCAGACACATTCATCACTTTCAAAACTACAATTAGAAAACATCTTATCTCCCTGATACACCCCGTCAACTAACTACATGATAACCACCTGGTGGTTCACAATTACACTCACCCACTGACTATAAACCCAGAAATACTAATCTTAATCTTCAAATAATAAATCCTAACTAGTCATAAGTTTGCCTATGGTACTCCAATATAGACACTTTGTATTGTGCCACAACAAAAGCATTCACATTGCTAAACTCACAAATTATGATGTAGTCACTTAGCCTTAATACCATAATCTGTAAGGTTTTAATGTTAAGAATTAATCTACGTCTGCCCGAAATGTCTAGCCATGCTAGGTGTCCTAGTGGCTCCCTCTGTAATTAGTATTCTGTAACATGTAAACCACACAATACCCAAAACATATATAAATATATATATATATATATATATATATATATATATATATATATATATATATATATATATATATATAATATATATATATGTCGTGCCGAATATGTAAAACTGGTCAATTAGCAAGAACTCATTTAAAATTAAGTCCTTTCTAAAATTTTCTCTTATACGTTTAAAGATATATTTTTTTCATTAATGTTAATGTAAAATTTTTTAATTTTGCACCAAAAGAATCTTAGAAAACTTACCTAACCTTATTATAACAAGAACAATTTATTTTAGCCTAACTCAACTAAATATATTTTAGATTTGTTTACAATAATTTAATACTAAACAAACACAATCAAATATATTTTTTTCGTTAGGTTCAGAATGATTTTGGCGAAATTATTGCATACACAAATTTTCGCTTGTCCTATATGGCAAGATGAGCGTTGCTATTTAAGCCAAGATCGCAAGTTCTGCCTATTCGGCACGACAATATATATATATATATATATATATATATATATATATATATATATATATATATATATATATATATATATATATATATATATATATATATATATATATGTTGTGTGTGTGTGTGTATATATAATTCTATGTAGTAGGTTGGTAGACAGCAACTGCCCAGGGAGGTACTACCGTCCTGCCAAGTGAGTGTAAAACGGAAACCTGTAATTGTTTTACATGATGGTAGGATTGCTGGTGTCTTTTTTATGTCTCATAAATATGCAAGATTTCAGGTACGTCTTGCTACTTCTACTTACACTTAGGTCACACTACAGACATGTACAAGCATATATATACACACCCCTCTGGGTTTTCTTCTATTTTCTTTCTAGCTCTTGTTCTTGTTTATTTTCTCTTTCTCCATGGGGAAGTGGAACAGAATTCTTCCTCCGTAAGCCATGCGTGTTGTAAGAGGCGACTAAAATGCCGGGACCAAGGGCCTAGTAACCCCTTCTTCTGCACAAATTACTAAATTTAAAAAGAGAAACTTTCGTTTTTCTTTTTGGGCCACCCTGCCTTGGTGGGATACGGCCGGTTTGTTGAAAAAATATATATATATATAATTCCGAGAGAGGCAAGGACAGCTTCAGAATTTCTTTACATCACTCTGCAAGATGTCTCTGTATAAGTTTAATAAAGCCCATGGTGGGCGAAGCGTTTCTCGGAAAAGGTGAGCAGGGGTTGCACTAAACCTGTAGGGGTCACATATCACCTAGGGTAATGGGAAGCAATCAGGTTCCATCCAAGGAAGGGTAGGTCCAGCTTCTTGAATCAAGAGCCCCACCCTCCAACCCGCATCAAGACAACTTGACAGGCGCAGGTGCACAGACATATCATGTATGTCTGAACACCTGGATGCCAGAGTTTATCAGTAATTCTAACCATTTACAGATATCCGGTTTGACGTGAACGACCCAGAAGTTTATAATTTCAACAAGCTCAACACTGAAGCCTTCGAGCTTTCACAAGGTGGCAATTTGGTATTTGATATGTTTCCGTGGCTCCCATACATCTCTCCTGCCTTTCTTACCAGGAAACTTGGAGTAGAAGCAATGCTCCGCACGTTTTCACTGATCAGAGATTATGTTCTCGTAAGTTTTGATGGTTTTTTTTTTCGTTTCTCTTGACACTGTGGTGGTTTTAATTTCTACACTTTGGAGGTGTCCCGTAGCTCGATAGCTAGCGCACTCAGCTCACCCACTGAGGTCCGGGGATCGATCCCCCTACGGCTGAAAAATATTAGGACGTGTTTCTATAAAACACCTAATGTCCATGTTCATTCATCAGTAAAATGGGTACCTGGGTATTAGTCAACTGGTGTGGGTCACGTACTGGGACAAAATTGGCCTAATTTTCCCGAAATGCTCTGCATAATAAGGGACTTTCTATATAATATCTTTATTTCTACAAGTACATGTACAAGGTATACAGACCTAGCTGACATCAATGACATACTACTATATAGAAAGCCGCTTGTTATGCAGAGCATTTCAGGCAAATTAGGTCAAGTTTGTCCCGGGATGCGACCCACACCAGTCGATTAATACCCAGGCGCCCATTTTTACTGATGAGTGAACGTAGACAACCGGTGCAAGGAAACAAGTCCAATATTTCCACCCTTGCCGGGAATCGAACCCGGACCCCTCAGCGTGTGAAGTGAAACCTTTACCACCAGATCACTGATGTTAGCTATGGTCTGTATACCTTGTACATGCACTTATCATCATCATCATCATCAGTATAATGATGATGATGATAAATACAAAATGCAATTTACAACTGATTTAAAAAAAATTGCATTGTTTTACAAAGCCATTGTTGGTGCAGAAGCATTTTGGGCAGCCTTAAAGTAGACTTATAACCACTGGATGAATAATTGATTTGGTTTATATTATTATTAATAATAATAATCAAAATGCGCTAAACCCGGAAGGGTTTACAAGAACTTAAAAGTTTGCAATCCTTGACAATAATTCTAACATTTTGGTTTACAACTGACTTTTTTTTTTTTGTAAAACAATATTATGACTTCCATAGCAATTATTAAAAATGTTGGTCAAATATATATACTAATCCATATTTCTGTATAACTGCTGAGGACATTCCATAAACTGAAGACCCATACAATGTAGAGTATCTCCAACAAACTACATTATATCTAAAATTTAGTTCTATTTTTCCTCTAAGGGTTTATTACACAGTATTACAGTAGTGTGTTTGTTAATAGGGACAGTGATGAAATAAGACATTTATTTGAAAAATTAATGTTTATTTGAAAAATTAATGTTTATTTGAAAAATTAATGTTTATTTGAAAAATTAATGTTTATTTGAAAAATTAATGTTTATTTGAAAAATTAATGTTTATTTGAAAAATTAATGTTTATTTGAAAAATTAATGTTTATTTGAAAAATTAATGTTTATTTGAAAAATTAATGTTTATTTGAAAAATTAATGTTTATTTGAAAAATTAATGTTTATTTGAAAAATTAATGTTTATTTGAAAAATTAATGTTTATTTGAAAAATTAATGTTTATTTGAAAAATTAATGTTTATTTGAAAAATTAATGTTTATTTGAAAAATTAATGTTTATTTGAAAAATTAATGTTTATTTGAAAAATACTGGGCACCGATAAAAAGGATAATTGATTTAATAAGCGATACAACTACCCTTTGCTTTTATAAGAATTGCTGTTAAATTAGACACATGTGCAACTCTTGGGTATCTTTATTGAGGAAACGTTTCGCCACACAGTGTCTTCATCAGTCCATACAAAGGATAAACTTGAAGAACAGGAGGAGAATGAGGTAATCAGTCCCTCAACTTTGAGTCGATGTGGTCAGTCCATCAATTTTGAATAGAATACGGCATATGAGAGGAGAAGCAGCTTATAAACTGTATGGCAGGAGAGGTGCAGCAGTTGCAGGTGATGTCACATTTGTCCAATGTGGAAGTAGGTCGTGCCCAAGGGTTAGGCAAGCGAAGAATTCCCAAGTATTAAGATCCCAAGAAGTTGCAGTGTCTGACAGGATTGTAGATGAATGGTTCAAAGAACCGACACGTTGTTAAATTAGACACATGTGCAGCTCTTGGGTATCTTTATTGAGGAAACGTTTCGCCACACAGTGGCTTCATCAGTCCAAACAAAGGATAAACTTGAAGAACAGGAGAATGGGGTAATCAGTCCCTCAACCATGAGTCGATGTGGTCAGTCCATCAATCTTGAATAGAATACGTGAGGTGTTGCCTTGTGTTTTCTTCCACATCTTCCTCAACACACCCGCGTCATCAGCTCTCTTCAGAATCCAACAAACAGTTGACTTTGCTATGCTGAAATTTTCAGCAATCTGTTTGAAATTCAAATCAAAATGTTTTCTAAGAGCTATAATATTTGCACCCTTCCTAGTGTGTAACATCCATCATGAATTTCAGCAGTAATCATGAATTGAAGGGGAGAATTTGGCAAAACCACAGTCACTCATGGAGCACGCTTGCAGGAATAGCCTTACAGAACAACAGCTGTTGTAGCATTGACAAGAATTGCATGATAACACCACAGCAGGATGGTTGCCAAAAATCAGTTGCAAACTCTTATGGAAAGAAAAACCCCAAACTATATTAATTAAGCCAGAAACTAAGACATAGTATGAGATGATCACAAAATTTACTCCTGTTCCAATTAATTTTTTTTTCAAAGTTTATTCTCTATAAAGATTACAATGTCGAATTTACAGAATTTGGTTGTTGTGTGGTTTACATGTAGTCAAATAATGATTACAGAGTGTACCACTAGAACGCCTAGCATGGATAGGCATTTCGGGCAGACTTAGTTTAATTCTTTATTTTAAAATATTACAAATTATGAGGTAAGTTGGTATTATGGCTAAGTGACTAAATACTAGTTTGTGAGTTTAGCAATGTGAATGCTTTTGTTTTGGCACAGTACATAGTTTCAGTATTGGAGTATCATAGGATTCATTATTTTAAGATTGAGATTAATATTTCTGTTTATGGTCAAATGGTGTGAGTGAGTGTAAGTGTGAACCACCAGGTGGTATTCGTGTAGTTAGTTGATGGGGTGTATCAGGGAGATAAGATGTTTTCTAATGGTAGTTTTGAAGGTGATGAATGTGTCTGCAGTTCTAGAGTTCTCAGGTAGGGTGTTCCAGATTTTAGGGCCTTTGACATACATTGAATTTTTGTAAAGGTTTAGTCGGACACGGGGAATGTCGTAGAGATGTTTGTGTCTGGTGTTATGCCTGTGGGTTCTGTCACAACTATCAAGAAAGCGTTTTAGGTCAAGGTTGATACTGGAGTTTAAGGCCCTGTAGATGTAGATTGCACAGTAGTAAGTGTGGATGTACTGAACAGGGAGTAAGTTTAGATCTATGAAGAGTGGGGGGGGTGTGTTGCCAGGGATGGGATTTAGTGATTATTCTTACTGCAGCTTTTTGTTGGGTTATTATTGGCTTTAGGTGTGTTGCTGCAGTTGATCCCCAAGCACAAATAGCATAGGTGAGGTATGGATATATGTGAATGGTATAGTGTGATAAGGGCAGTTTGCGGCACGTAGTATCGTATCTTGGAGAGGATCCCAACCGTTTTGGATACTTTTTTGGTTATGTGTTGGATTATGGGTGCTGAAATTCAGGTTGTTGTCAAGGTATAGGCCTAGGAATTTGCCCTCATTATGTCTGGTAATTAGAGTGTTGTCGATCTTAATGTTAATTTGTGCATCTCCTGCTCTGCTACCAAACATAATATAGTAGGTTTTGTCAGTGTTAAGCGTAAGTTTATTGGCTGTCATCCAAGTCGATATTTTGATCAGCTCCTCGTTAACAATGGTGTTGAGGGTGGCAAGATTAGGGTGAGAGATGACATAAGTCGTGTCGTCAGCAAAGAGAATGGGTTTCAGGTGTTGGGATACGTTTGGAAGATCATTGATGTATATGATCTTCCAAACGTATCCCAACACCTGAAACCCATTCTCTTTGCTGACGACACGACTTATGTCATCTCTCACACTAATCTTGCCACCCTCAACACCATTGTTAACGAGGAGCTGATCAAAATATCGACTTCGATGACAGCCAATAAACTTAAGCTTAACACTGACAAAACCTTCTATATTATGTTTGGTAGCAGAGCAGGAGATGCACAAATTAACATTAAGATCGACAACACTCTAATTACCAGACATAATGAGGGCAAATTCCAAGGCCTATACCTTGACAACTGTAGTATGAATTTCAAAACAGATAAAAGTTGCAACCTAAGTCATAAAAAAAATGACAAGAATGCTAAGACTTGATTCCATGGTCTGTGAGTCCCCTGATCTCCAGTCCAGTTACTGGTTACTGTGAGTACACAGTTACTGTGTAGTCACAGTAGTGACCGGCACTAACCTCTTCAGTGAAAGGCATTTATTGGTTGTAATACCACCAAATCCAGTCATTCCTGGAGTGGAACCACAGTCGATGGCCTCCACTCCAAACCAACAGATACAGATACTAATGCCGGAAAAAAAATCCCCCCCCCAGTACCAACAATACCACCAGTCCGCTAACATTCTTCTTTGCAAATATACAGGGTCTAAAGCCAGCAACAAACAACAAAATACCTTTCATCCGTGGACTGCTTGCAGAGGCAAAGGCAATGTTCGCGGCTTTCACTGAGACCCACATAAAGGATCACTTGGACAACGAAATATGGATCCCAGGTTACAACCTATACAGATGTGACAGAGTGAACAGGCAAAAGGGGATGGTTGGCTTTGTACAGTTTCAGAGTCACTTGTTTGCACAGAACTGCTTAATGCCTCAAATGATGTAGTGGAAGTTTTAGCAGTAAAGGTCGAGAACCAAAACCTAGTCATTGTGGTAGTCTACAAGCCTCCGGATGCAACATCCCAGCAATTCCAGGAACAGCTGTTAAAAATTGACCACTGTCTGGAAAATCTTCCAGCTCCTGCACCCAACATCTTGCTCCTGGGGGATTTCAACTTAAGGCACCTAAAATGGAGGAATATAGCAAATAATATTGTTGCAGTAATAACACCAGGAGGCAGCTCTGATGAAACTCACACTCACACGAGCTTTTAAATCTCTGCACAAAATTCAATTTAAACCAGCAAATAATAGAGCCTACTAGACTGGAGAATACACTAGACCTCATCTTCACTAACAATGATGATTGATAAGAAATGTCACCATATCAAAAACAATATACTCAGATCACAACATAATTGAGGTTCAGACATGTATGCGTGGAGCCCCAAAACCGACAAAATGAACTAGTCACGAGGGAGCATTCACCAAATTAAATTTTAAATAACAAAAACAAAAAAGGGGGACCAAGTAAACCAAGTCCAACCGATATAAGCGGGGAAGATATACTAAGCAACACAGACCCCAACTTATCCCTAGAACAGATTAACTCGGTGGTACTCGATGTATGCACAAGGCTTATTCCTCTAAGAAAAAGGAGGAGTAGATGTAAAATAGAAAGAGACAGGCGCTCCCTTTACAGGCGACGGAAAAGAATAACAGAGCGGCTAAAAGAGGTCAATATATCTGAAATGCGTAGGGAGACACTGGTCAGAGAAATAGCAAGCATCGAACTTAAGCTAAAAGAATCCTTTAGGAGTCAGGAATCGCGGGAAGAACTAAAAGCCATAAATGAAATCGAAAGAAACCCAAAGTATTTCTTCTCCTATGCCAAATCAAAATCGAGAACAACGTCCAGTATTGGACCCCTACTTAAACAAGATGGGTCCTACACAGATGACAGCAAGGAAATGAGTGAGCTACTCAAGTCCCATTATGACTCAGTTTTTAGCAAGCCGCTAACCAGACTGAGAGTCGAAGATCAAAATGAATTTTTTATGAGAGAGCCACAAAATTTGATTAACACAAGCCTATCCGATGTTATCCTGACGCCAAATGACTTCGAACAGGCGATAAATGACATGCCCATGCACTCTGCCCCAGGGCCAGACTCATGGAACTCTGTGTTCATCAAGAACTGCAAGAAGCCCCTATCACGAGCCTTTTCCATCCTATGGAGAGGGAGCATGGACACGGGGGTCGTCCCTCAGTTACTAAAAACAACAGACATAGCCCCACTCCACAAAGGGGGCAGTAAAGCAACAGCAAAGAACTACAGACCAATAGCACTAACATCCCATATCATAAAAATCTTTGAAAGGGTCCTAAGAAGCAAGATCAACACCCATCTAGAAACCCGTCATTTACACAACCCAGGGCAACATGGGTTTAGAACAGGTCGCTCCTGTCTGTCTCAACTACTGGATCACTACGACAAGGTCCTAAATGCACTAGAAGACAAAAAGAATGCAGATGTAATATATACAGACTTTGCAAAAGCCTTCGACAAGTGTGACCATGGCGTAATAGCGCACAAAATGCGTGCTAAAGGAATAACAGGAAAAGTCGGTCGATGGATCTATAATTTCCTCACTAACAGAACACAGAGAGTAGTCGTCAACAGAGTAAAGTCCGAGGCAGCTACGGTGAAAAGCTCTGTTCCACAAGGCACAGTACTAACCAGACTGTATGCGTATCCAGGTAAACTCCAGGTAAACTAGCTCCCATCTTGTTCCTCATCCTCATATCCGACATAGACAAGGATGTCAGCCACAGCCCCGTGTCTTCCTTTGCAGATGACACCCGAATCTGCATGACAGTGTCTTCCATTGCAGACACTGCAAGGCTCCAGGCGGACATCAACCAAATCTTTCAGTGGGCTGCAGAAAACAATATGAAGTTCAACGATGAGAAATTTCAATTACTCAGATATGGTAAACATGAGGAAATTAAATCTTCATCAGAGTACAAAACAAATTCTGGCCACAAAATAGAGCGAAACACCAACGTCAAAGACCTGGGAGTGATTATGTCGGAGGATCTCACCTTCAAGGACCATAACATTGTATCAATCGCATCTGCTAGAAAAATGACAGGATGGATAATGAGAACCTTCAAAACTAGGGAGGCCAAGCCTATGATGACACTCTTCAGGTCACTTGTTCTATCTAGGCTGGAATATTGCTGCACTCTAACAGCACCTTTCAAGGCAGGTGAAATTGCCGACCTAGAAAATGTACAGAGAACTTTCACGGCTTGCATAACGGAGATAAAACACCTCAATTACTGGGAGCGCTTGAGGTTTCTAAACCTGTATTCCCTGGAACGCAGGAGGGAGAGATACATGATTATATACACCTGGAAAATCCTAGAGGGACTAGTACCGAACTTGCACACGAAAATCACTCACTACGAAAGCAAAAGACTTGGCAGACGATGCACCATCCCCCCAATGAAAAGCAGGGGTATCACTAGCACGTTAAGAGACCATACAATAAGTGTCAGGGGCCCGAGACTATTCAACTGCCTCCCAGCACACATAAGGGGGATTACCAACAGACCCCTGGCAGTCTTCAAGCTGGCACTGGACAAGCACCTAAAGTCAGTTCCGGATCAGCCGGGCTGTGGCTCGTACGTTGGTTTGCGTGCAGCCAGCAGTAACAGCCTGGTTGATCAGGCGCTGATCCACCAGGAGGCCTGGTCACAGACCGGGCCGCGGGGGCGTTGACCCCCGAAACTCTCTCCAGGTAAACTCCAGGTAAGATCAAGAGCTCCTCACTGACATCGAAGTACCTCCCTCGTGGGAGAATAAGTTGCTCCACCATGTATTCGTGCATCGTGAGTGTTCAGTTCGTGAGTCGTTCAGGACCCAGACTTGTGTCAGCATGGTCTCTTCCCTATTTCAATCAGGCACCCTGCTACAGATAATTATAATTTCTATAGGTATCATTTTCAGTTATTGAAATTAGAGATAATATTATTGTAAGAATACTTGAAATTTTACATTGTATTAGCTACTATTTACAGTATTTATAATTGTTGTAATAAAGTTGGTAGAATTACCGACAATATGTAAAGTACAAGGACAAAAGTGCAGCTAATGTGACATTTTATTGTGGCAACGTTTCGCTCTCCAGGAGTTTTGTCAAGCCGTAACGGCTTGACAAAGCTCCTGGAGAGCGAAACGTTGCCACAATAAAATGTCACATTAGTTGCGCTTGTGTCCTTGTACTTTACATTTATAATTGTTATTAAATATTTAGTTATTCTTTTGTGATCATTACTATTATTATTATTATTATTATTATTATTATTATTATTATTATTATAATCAGAACTAAGCGTTAAACCAGTTTGTGATCAGTATTGTATTAACAGTTGTTGAATTATTACACCTAGAATGTTTATATATGTACATACTTTAATATTATGTGTCCTTTAGAATGTCTGTGACTTTTTTCCTTAGAAAATCTGCTGTTATTCTTAACTTTAGAAATATCTATACAATTATACTTGCTTCAGAACACCTGAACTAACATTCTTAGCTTTCGAGCACCAGTAATTTCATTCCTGGGTTTTGAACGGCAGTAATCTCATTCCTGGGTTTAGAATATTTCTGCACTAATGCTTGGCGTTAGAAGTGTTTGCAAGGAACACTTGAAAATGCATATCATCCTTAACTTGAGTGCATGTGCACATTCTGAACATCTACATAACCATCCTTGAAATTTGAACATCTGTACTTTGATGTGTGTATTATATTTGGGTGTCTGTAGACCATTTGAAAGCAGAACATTAGGCTCTTCATAGAACATTTAACGATTTGTAGAACATTCATATCACAGACATGTACTGGTTCATGTCTCTGGCTGCAGGGTGTGGTGAATAATCATGAAGCATCCCTCAACCCCAGTGCCCCCAGGGACTACATAGACATGTACCTGGTCGAGATGGCAGCACAGAAAGACAATCCCGAGTCCACCATGAGCAGTAAGTGGCAACATTCCTGGCAGTTTTCTGTGAAATACAGTATATACTTTATTATAAATTAAGAAAACCCACATGGAGACAAATACAGTGTAAGAGACTGTATATGTATTTCGATCTCTAAGATCTTTGCCAGTACCACATTGCTTACACTGCTTCTGTGTCCTTGTGAGTTTCCTCAATACATCAACAAGTGCCCACTGCACTTTCATGTTTTATACTTTATCCCTGATTCCTTAATCCGACTAGATTCATTCAGTACGAAATTCATCTCACTGGCAAGTGATTCAGAAGGAACAAGAACTAGCCTAGAATTATTCATTGATGGTCAGGTCTCTTTCATAAACATTTTTGCATCCCAGTTTGTGACCATCACCAAATGGTTCGTACGTTAGTTTGCGTACGGCCAGCAGTAACAGCCTGGTTGATCAAACCCTGATCCACCACGAGGCCTGGTCTCAGACCGATCCGCGGGGGCGTTGACCCCCGAAACCCTCTCCAGGTATACACAGGATTCTGGTTGGTGAAACCTTACAATAATTTTTTTTGGTGCAGTGGACTAAAGCAAACGTTTGGCAATCCCAAATTGTGAGTTTGAATCCCAATTATTCTATACATACAGATATTGGTAGCGCCTGAAGAGTCGTTGTAAAGGTTGGTGGAGGAATTTAAGAGTTCGTGAAAGAAAGAAGTTAAAAGTGAGCATACAAAAGAGCAAGGTGATGAGAGTAACAAAGAGCGGGTAAAGAAAGACTGGATATCAGATTGGAAAGTGAAGGTATTGAGGAAATAAATGTATTCAGCAATTGAAGTGTGGGTATATCAGTAGATGGGTTTATGGAAGCCAGGGTGACCCACAAAATAGACGAGGGGGAAGAAGGTAGGTGATGCGTTGAGGAATCTGGAAAAAAAAAACAGTGAAATTTATCAATGGAGGCAAAAGTGGAAATGTACCAAAGTATAATACTACCAACACTTTATGCACGGGTGTCAGGCATGGGTTTCACATGTTACAGTTAAGAGGAAGCTAGAGGCATTGGAGATGCCATGTTCGAGAGCATGTATACCTGGAGTTTACCTGGAGAGAGTTTCGGGGGTCAACGCCCCCGCGGCCCGGTCTGTGACCAGGCCTCCTGGTGGATCAGCCCCTGATCAACCAGGCTGTTGCTGCTGGCTGCACGCAAACCAACGTACGAGCCACAGCCCGGCTGATCAGGAACTGACTTTAGGTGCTTGTCCAGTGCCAGCTTGAAGACTGCCAGGGGTCTGTTGGTAATCCCCCTTATGTGTGCTGGGAGGCAGTTGAACAGTCTCGGGCCCCTGACACTTATTGTATGGTCTCTTAACGTGCTAGTGAATATTATGTAGAGAATTCAGAGCATAGATATTAAAGGACAGTGTGGATTACAAGAGATATAATACAGAGGGCTAATAAGGGTTTGATGGGGTTCAGGTGTTTAGATTATTATTATAATCAAAACTGAGTGCTAAACCCACCAGGGTCATAGAGCACTGGTGTATAAATCTGGGGTGGAAGAGAGGAATAAGGGTTGTCCCCAAAATGATTGGAGGGAGGTGGGGTAATTTTATAATTCTCCACAGTCCTATAAGAAAAAATTGATTTTGTGTTTTTTAGGATAGACTAATGCTAGGAACTCGAGCATCCAGCAGGCTTGTGTGAACATGTTAGACTTGAGAGAGTTGGGAAAATTATTTTTATGGCTTGACATGCTATAGTGTGAGCCATGTTACATTTTGGAAAAGACTTAGGAGAACCGGTTAGTGGCCTGGTGGCTAAAGCTCTCGCTTCACACACGGAGGGCCCGGGTTCGATTCCCGGCGGGTGGGAACATTTCGACATGTTTCCATACACCTGCTGTCTTGTTCACCTAGCACCAAATAGGTACCTGGGTGTTAGTCGACTGGTGTGAGTCGCATCCTGGGGGACAAGATTTGAGGACCCCAATGGAAATAAGTTAAACAGTCCTCGATGACGAACTGACTTTCTTGGGTTATCCTGGGTGGCTAACCCTCCGGAGTTAAAAATCCGAACGAAATCTTATCTTATGTGGAAAGTACAGCACCTGCACTCAAGAAGGGGGTAAGGATAGTGTAATTTGGAGGGTCATTTGCATTATGTCAGTTCACTTCTGGAATGTGTTAGGATAATTTTTCTTTTTTGGTGGGGCCATCCTGCCTTGGTGAGTGTGTGGAGAAAGAATAATTTGTGCAGCAGTACCTTTTAAAAGCAGATTTTGACTGATTCCATAAGCTTGATGTGGCATTAAACCCTGACAGAGGATGACCTGTGGGTGCAAGTGGCAGACCTGTTCACTGCAGGAGGCGAGACAACCAACCAGACACTGCGCTGGGCTATCATGTACATGATCAAATACCCACATATTCAGACCAGGCTGCAGAAAGAGATTGATGACGTTGTGCCCAGGACGAACTTACCCTCACTACAGGACAAGCCAAAGTAATGCACTTATCTTCTCTCAGTACAGTAATGCACTTATCTTCTATCAGTACAGTAATGCACTTCTCTTTATTTTTTTATTAACAAAGCTGTGGAACTGTTTAGTTATTCAGTGTTATCAGCATATTACACTTCTAACATTACCAGATTTACACTATCATCATTAACTTGCTACTCTCATGACCAGTTCACTCTCATATTACATAAATCATAAACACAAAGCAAGTAAAACTATTCAAAGAATATTTCACACATTCCACAATCCATATCCATTATTAATCCCATGTCAACAGCCACATTATCAAATATCAACAAGAAGGGAAATATCCCCACCATTTATGGCAAGAGGTGATGGATACTTAGGCAAGCACCCTGTGGGTAGAGAGAGGAACCCTTCCCAGAGAATTTATTCTATTTATTTCATGGGAAGAGTGCTATGCCAGTAGGGATCATACAGTACTTTGGGGATTGGGAATGGCAAAATCCGATATATACATAACTTTTCTACTGCTTATGGGGGATTTTTCTTTTCAGTCTTCAAGGTTTATGACAATGTGTATCAAAACTTTATTTATTTATTTATTTATTTATGTATGTATTAATCTGAACATGATACAGTGAAGTACAAAATAATATACTTAAATGCAGCATGCCAAAACCACCTGAATGCATAGCATTATGGGCAGGCTTAAAATTAACTTAAGATTAACTAAGCAATGATATATTCAGTGGTACAAAAATTATTGTAAAACAGATAACAATTTAGTACAAATGAGTATTACAAAGACAGGTTACATGGTCATTTACTGTGTTGCTGTGTAATCAGTAGAATGGAGTATTCTGTTAGGTAACGAAGTTAAATAGTAACTTCCAAGTATTGTTTGACCAAAACTTTCACCCCTCTACATCATATCAAGATGGGTGCTGATTATTATTGATGGTAGTAGTATTCAATTCAAAGTTTATTCTCTATAAGGATTACAATGCTGAGTTTACAGAATTTGGTTATTATAGCACATATATGAGCAAGTAACATTTATAAAGGGATTCAGGGAAACCGGTTAGCCAGACTTGAGTCATGGGAGGTGGGAAGTACAATGCTGGCACTCTAAAGGAGGGTTGGAGATATGTTGCAGTTTTTGAACTGTAGTATTAGCATTCCTCTGGCAAGACAGCGATGGAGTGAGTGATCAGGAAAGTGTTTCTTCTTTTTTAGGTCACCCCTGTCTTGGTGGGAAATGGCCAATGTGTTAGGGAAAAAAAGAAGTTCATGGGAAAGATACAGTGGAACCTCGGCACTCAAACTTATTTGGTTCCACAAGGCTATTCGAGTGCTGATCTGTTCAAGTACAGAATGGATTTTCCCAACCAATTTTCTTTTTGATTGGCTATTATCACTAACCCTTTTAGGCCCCATGGTGACTTATTTATACAAATATAAAAAAAAACACCAAAAATGCAAAGAAGCGTGAAATAGTTTACAGCGAAGTTCTGGAATTGTACGAGTACAGAGCTGTTCGAGTACTGAGGTTTCACTGCACTAACCTCTTCAAGGGGGGCTCCTTGGCGTGGTGAAGAGGCTCTTGGTCTGAGGAATTAGACCTGTCAGTCTCCTTCCTCAGTCCGAACCTAATTATCTCCCATTCCCCCCTTCCCTATCCCATCCTCCCCATCCTCCCCTTTTCCCTTTCGTCCTCCTCCTCCACACCCCTCCCTTTTGCCCTTCCTCTTTTTGGCCTTTGGGATATTTCCCACAAGCGCGCTAGTTCCTAGGTAGGGAAAAGGGTACCGGGGTCCATCCCATTCCGTTGAGGTTCTTGGCGGTGGCGTAGTTTACCGTGGAATCTGGATTGCCTGGGGATGTCCCGATCCCTTTCTGGTATCCCGGAGAGTGGCTTTGGGTGTCTTTCGGGTGACGGGTGTATCTCTGGAAGCCACCTTTCGGATTCTGGGGGCGGTGGCCGAAGGAGGTATGCTTTGTGGTGGATATCCGGCTGCCCTGTCTTTTGTCCACCGAGGTAGCTCAGCAGATGTGAGGTTGCTATCCCGGATTGCTGGTTTACTGGCATGATGGGTAGGGTATGGCACAGGTTCCATGCTGCATCAATGCTACTTGCGGTGCTGAGGTCCTCTTGGGCATGGAGGGAGATTTCTGGCCCTTTCATTCCTCCTAGGAACTATCCCTCCCCGGTCCCCCCTTTTTTTATTCCTTTTTTATTTTTATTTTCTCTCTTCTTTCTTTTTTTTCTTAAAAACAAAAAGAAAGAAGTAACCTAACCATGGAGAACCCAATCCATGAACCTGCTACCCCCGGGCCCCTTCTTGATACTGCACCCTGTTCTGACCCCACCTCGTCTTTGGACCACTCTTCGGACACTCCTCATGCCTCTTTACCTCTTGCCGGTGCTGTTTCCTCACCCGCTTCAGGTACTGAGGTCTCGACTGACTCGTTTGATTTATCTGACCTCCGCTCTCCTTTGACTATGCTTCCGGCCTCTCCCTCTACTGTGCAGCAATTTTCGAACCGCCGGCCCGTTCCACGTCGAACCAACTCTAGTCCCACACCTAAACACCAACGACAATTACCTGCTGATGATACTTCTCCACCTTCTCGTTCTTCTCAGAAAAGATCGAGACGTCCTGCACTCCCTTTCCATGCTCAGTTTCAGACTGCACAATGTACTAAATTCTTCACTTTACGACTGACTTCCTCTACCGCCTATCTTTCCGACCACAGTATTGGCAAGGCACTCCTATGCCATGTTGGTAAAGATATTTCTTTTCATGCTCTTAAGAGCGGTACGTGCATCATCACTGTACAGAATGCTACCAAGCTCATGATCTTTCTCTTCTTTCCATTAGATACTGTTCTTGTCACTATTGAGAAACATCATTCCTCATTCTTTGTAGTGGTACCGTCATTCTGCCCATACCATATGTTCAACAAAATTTCCAGACATGTGGCAATGACATTCTTGAACCCGCTGGAACTCCAAGATCTCCAATCCTCAAGGTAGACACTTATATTCTTCTGCCCATGGGCGGAGACGATACCCTAGCAATGTGGCTCGTTTAACTTTTGACAGCCGTGAATCCCATCCTCAGTTTATGTAGCAGGACATTGGTTACAAGTTCGAAAGGTGATCCCTACACCGCAACAGTGTAGAAATTGCTGGCGATTTGGCCATCAGCGAATATTGCAGATCTATAGCCGAATGCCAGTCTGTGGTGCCGATGACCATTCAAATACATCTTGCAATCGACCTCCTCTTGCCTTAATTGTCATGAGGCTTCACCTTCGTACTCTCGCCATTGCCAAGTCTACGTAAATGAGCGGGAAATCCATTACCTCAAAGAGGCAGAAGGTCTCCCTTATGCCATGGCAGTTTCTCATCTCCGCCTCCAAGGGGGACTACCTCGTGTTTTCTTATTCCCGTGTTTCAAAACGTCCCCCCACTTCTGGGGCCCATCTTTCTGCAACCTCCTCTGTGGTTACCTTCCCATAGTCACTCCTGTATCTAATTCTTTTGCTGTCCTAGGCTCAGACGTCCCTACTTCAACGCCTCAGTCTGTTCTTGCTTCTTCGTGTTCTCCCTCAAAGCCTCAGTAAACGATGAGATCTCGTACGACACCTCTTTCCCCAATCGTCCCTCTACTTCTCAGAAGTCAAAAAAGGTCCTTAACCCCTCCTTCCCTTCCTCCACCTCCTCATTTTACCTTCCCTGTCTCTGTACCGGGTTCTTCCCTCTCACTGGCTCTGTTACAAGTGTAGAGGTTCACCCTCCTCCTCGTACTTATCCCACCTCCCTGTTCCTCCCAAGTTTCTTCCTCTTCTGCCACCTCCCAGGTTTCTGCCTCTTCTGTCCCTTCCACGCTTCTTCTCAGTTCCTCCACCTTTCGCCCCCCTACCTTGGTACGGTCCATTACAGTTCCACTCTTTACTCCTCCTCCCCCTACCATCTCCAATATTGTCTCCCATACGAGTCTCTGAATTCCAAAACACTTGAAGCAATCTATGAATATATTGCAGAGACCAAACCATCAGTGGACACTGATCCACCCCTCTGTTCCTTCTCTTCCTCTCCTCATCTGCACAACTCCTTTCTTCACAGCGCACCATTCCTTCGCTGCTTGAACGTTTTCCACTGCCTCCGCATTGTGGACTTTTCTAACCACTCTAGTCTGTAGGAAACCCTTACCTGCAGATTTCAAGTATCTTTATCATTGCCAATCATGGCCTATTTACAGTGGAATATACGCAGCCTCAGGGGTAATCGGGGTGAGCTTCAGATGTTACTCTCCCAGTTTTCCCCTGTTGGTGTTTGCTTACAGGAACCAAACTTACACTCTGCTGTTATCTCTCCCATCTCAGGCTATAATTTATTGTATTCTTCAGATCCTTTTCCTGATGGGACCTTTAATGAAAGTACCCTTCTTCTACGCACTGATATTCCATACCATCAGCTATTTGTTCATACTTTGCTGCATTACACAGCAGCCCATATCCACTTGCATAGGTGGTATATGCTGTTCTTTATATCTCTCTCCTTCTCGGGCATTATCTATTCCGGATATTGCCTTTCTTGTTTCGTCATTACCGCCACCGATTCTGTTACTTGGTGATTTTAATGCCCATCATTTCCTCTGGGGAAATCTCACTGTGATTCCCGTGGCATTCAATTAGAGGCTTTTCTTGCCACCCACCCCCTCCATGTTTTAAATGCAGGTACTCACACCCATTTTGATCCTCGGACTCACACTCTCTCTTGCATCGATCTCTCAGTCTGCTCTTCCTCTGCCACATCAGACTTCACCTGGTCTGTTCTCCTGGATTTACATGACAGTGATCATTTCCCAATCATTCTTACTTCTCCTTCATATTCACCACCTCTTTGTATCCCACGGTGGCAATTTGATCAGGCAAATTGGAACCTTTACTCACAACTAACTGTTTTTAGTGAGGTTCCTTCTTCGTCCTCCATTGATGAGCTTTTGCACCT